CTGTTTGAGCCCCCAAATCCCTGTTTGTCCCATCCTCCCTGCTTCGCTAGGGACTTGGTGTGATTGCTTACCCTACAAGACCATCATGTCTTCATCATCTGGAGCTCTGTATCGCTCTGAGAGTCCCAGTTTTCTTTTTTCTGTGCCCAGACGTGCAGCAGAGGTGGCCCGCATGGTGCCCTTGGTCCACCATGCTGCCTTACACCAACAGTCCTCAGCAGCTTCCTCTGCCACGCTGCTCCCCTGCTGTTTTCTGTTGTCTTAATTTTTTGCATTGTCCTGTATAGTGATACAGAAGCATGTGTGGATAGGTGTGTATATGGATAAAAATAGACAGATGCATGCATCCATCCATATTAACGTTTATAAGAAATGTATATATTTGATAACTGTTAGCTCTCAGTAAGACAGTAAAAGAAAAACCATATTTTATTCTCTGATGTATAATTTTCCAGTACTCAGGCTCCTTGAAGTGTGTTTCTGATCCCACTTCCCTCTTCCTTCCTCTCCCACTTGTGTATAAATATGGAAGCAAGATTTTGAAGCGATATAAGTTGTAGCTATAGGATTTGTGTATGTGTGTGACCTTTGAAGGCTTTCTGGAAATGCTTGTTACCACTTTAAGCGTGTGCACTTTCCTGACAGATTGAGGCTTGCTTGTGTATCAGTTAAAATAAATATAGCATAACTGGCAAATAACAGAAATTATGACTGAAATAGTTGTGACAGGAAATTGAAATTAATTTTTTAATTTATGTAATATATAATCATTGTGACCACCACTTTGACAAAATTTGACATTTCCTCTTTTCTTGGAAAACATTAGAAGATTCCTTTATGCATTGATTTAAGAGTTCATGTAACTTCCTTTTTCGTCTTAGAAAAATATGGAGTGTTATTTTTCTTCCTAAAATGATTATAATTAACTTGTGGCTTGTGTCAAACTGTTTTTCGCTAGGAATTAAGCCAGTATAAAAAGCACAAAACCACATACCTGGATGGTTCTTAATAATTACATAAAAGTGCTCTAATTCCATTAGTTATAGAATTAAAAAATAAACTTGGTTTCTGTTTAAAGCTTAGCCGATTTAGTGAAGGAAGGAAACATAATTGATGTTTGGGTAATTGCAACAATCAACAGTGCAACCAGGCGCTTAAAATGAATGGTTTATAGAAAGGTGTGATAATGGCAGCTTAGTTGGGAGAAACATAATCTGTGGGAGAAGTCATTATTAGTGCAGCATTGTTTTTATGTTGTACCAAGATTATAAGCAGTAAAAATGTCACACGCTGTTCCCATAAGCAAGATAATGCTTTGATGACAGTGGGTATGCAAGAATCTGGAAATGTTGATTAAATTCAGAGCTTCGTCAGTTCCTGGTAACCAACATGTTCTGGAGTTGATTTAGATTTCAGAGAACTATTATTACATCTGAATTTATTTATTTTTTTTTCCATTCACAGTAGTCTTTATTCTGGTTGGAATGTAAATATCTGCTGAAAAATCACTAGCACATATGTAGTTATCTTTTGATAACAAGAGATTATCCTTAAAAAGCAGAATGAAGACAGAAATAACTGGTACAACCACCAAGCATTAGTCACCAGTAGCTCTTATATAATGCTTACGTCTTCAATCAGCGTGCTGGCAGCTGGGCTTCTTTGTAATATTTATTTGGAAAAGAAGCATCTATCTCATTTGGCAGAGGAAGATGAAGCCAAGGGTTGAGGGACGTGCTGAGGGGCACACAGTGCTTAGCTAGTGAGAGCATTACAACTAAGATGCATCCGTCATCCTATGTCAAGCAAAGCCAAGAGCAGAGTGGAGGTCTGTAGCAGTGTCTCCTCGGGTGCTTCCCCCACTCCTTCCCTGCCCGTTTGGCTATGCAATTTTTTGAGGCAGAGCGAGTGAATCCTGCAGCACTTGTAGTTTTTCCTTTTGTTATTGTTCTAGGTGAGGAGGCGTGTTTCCTCTTCACTCTGTTATGCCTTGGTGAAAAGAACAAATAAAAATACATAGCTTGAAGCACTGAAAATGGATTTTCAGCAGTTGAAAACCAAAACGTAGTAGGCTTAATCTTGACAGAACTCTTGAACATGTGTGTGTGTTAACCTTAGCACCAAGAGGAATGCTCATATGCGCAGATTTTCCTTTGTGGGTTTGCCCACTGCACTGTGACAATGTAATCACAGTAACGTATGAAAATGGGTGAGTTTCTCTGGGAGATAAGCCATTTGTGTAAGGGAATTTCCTTGTGATGGTTCGGTAGTCATTCTGGCTGCTTTCTTGTGGCTTGGTCCTGTTAGTTCATACATATTGAATGTTTGTTCCCAACTGAACTGCAAGACTGTTAGATGGAGTTGGAAGCACTCTGTGATCTCATTCTGAAAGTTTATTTCTTGAGACCTAAAAGAATTGCATTGTAATCAGGTTTTAATCTCAGTAAGTACAAGAAATCAGAGTACTTCAAGGGGACGTTTTTATTCTTAGCTTATTGTTGTGTTTATAGACAGTGAATTATCTTATAGCTTGGTTTGTCCGTAACCACGTGCTATGTTTTGGGTTTTTCCCTTTCAGAATTACACATAACTAATGGCACTGTTTTCTTTGGTTGGTGTTCTAAGATGAAATACTGGAGGGAAAATTGTTCATGTCACTAGAGGATATTCAGGACTTTGTATGATTTTATATAATTTTTAGAATAAAAAAGTCAAACTAAAATACTGGAAAACCAGGACTCCAATTATCAAACAAAAGCAAGATGGCTTTTCTTTAAGGGAAAAAATTAAATTACATTACTCCTAAATGTACTATAATATCGCTGTAAAATTATAGCAAAATTAATGCTTTTAAAAAAAAAAAAATCTCATTTACTTGATTTGTTATAGAAGTCTAGAAACTAAATGAATGGTCCAGGGAAGGTGAAGAGGAAATAATTAGTTATAAGAATATAAGGTTGCACACACATAGCCATCTGGTAGCAATTTTAAACCAGAAGTAATTAGTTTCTTTTAATTCATGCAACGTAATTGTGGAACTTGTTGCCACAGGGTTTACAGAGGCCAAAATTGTAATTGGGTTCAGAAAGGAATTGAGTGTGTTCATGGTAGGTAGATTCATAAGAGAATGCTAAACAATCTAGATGCAATCCTGGCACAAGCAACCCCGGTTTTTTTGAGGATTTCTGGAAGATGGGAGGATTTAGGAGAAGAATCTATTTGTTTCCAATATTCTTATTTTTAAAAAAGCATTTCTCTGTCACAAAGTGCATTTACATTTTTCTCACAGACTTGAAAATGTTTGTAGTTGCATGTACGTGGAGTTGCTCCTTAGTGGCGGTTAAAGTTCTTTATAAGCATTGAACGCACCTACCCTTACCCTCTGAGGTCACATACACTGATACGTAGAAAACTATTACTCAGAAAGATCTGATGATGCAAAATGAATAATATGCCTGCCTTTGTTTGCTTTAGGACGCCGAGGCTTATTTGACCATTCGTCGCACAATGCAAGCTCAAAAGTAAAAGAGAGGAAACTACAAGGGACCTGTCCTGCTGTCAGTCATGGAAACTATGGAAAACCATGTTTGAGTGAAAGCAGTCGTAGGTCCCCGTTTTTTAATCCCCGTAATGGTTTCCACACGATACATTCAGAGCACAGTCCTGTGAAGCCAAGGATTATTACAGTGGTGAAACCTGGTGGACATACACTCAGAAGGATAACCTTGCTTCTCAACAGGAGATCGGTCCAGACCTTTGAACAGCTGATGGCTGATATTTCAGAAGCTCTGGGATTTCCACGCTGGAAGAATGACCGTGTGAGAAAGCTTTACAATCTGAGAGGCAGAGAAATCCGGAGCGTTTCTGACTTCTTCAGGGAAGGTGATGCATTCATAGCTATGGGGAGGGAGCCCCTCACTTTGAAGAACCTGGAAGTGGTATTACAAGAACTTTACCCTGAAAATCCTTATGCTGCCAGTGCTGCCATTCAGCAGAATGAGGAGCAGTCTCAAAAACTGAAGAGCAGGCTGTATGACAAGGCTCCCAAAGTGGACAGTGGCTTTGATGAGACAGAAAATACCAAGAACTGCAGCGATGGCATGTCTCCCAAATTGATAGCTGGACATGAAGGAAAAAGTCAAGCCAAGGCAAAACAAGAGGAAAAAATAAGAACCAAAAAAAAGTGGACTAGAGAGAGCTGGTGTAGTGACCCAGGAGCAAAGCCTTCTAGAAAAACACGAGAGAGGTACCTTAACCATGAGAGAAGTCCTGAGGAGCGATTAGAAGAGAGTTCAGAGGGGGTGGCGAGGTGTGAGAAGTGTGAACAGGAAAGGCAGGCCAGACAAAAGTTACAAAGGGAAACGCGAGCTGAGGCCCCATTTGAGAACAGAGACCTGAACACAGGTGCATGTCAGAGGTACCACTTAGAAAGAAATGCAAAAATCAGGAATTGCCGAAGATCTTCAGAAACTTGTCTGGAAGGTGAAGAAGTTGGTTGGAAAGATAATGGCTGTAGGAGGATGTGGAAGCCTCTACATAGGAACATTAGTGAAGGGCTGGAGAAGCAAAAAAGGAGCATTGAGAAGGAAAGGGATGTGGAGAAACATGAAAACCATGGGAAGGAAGTAGTAAAATTCAAGAAGAATGCTGTAGAAGGGCTGCAACTAACTCATGAAGCGAAGGAAGAGAATGGAAGTAGCTGCGTGATGAACCAAAGCGGTTGGCTAAAGAAAGATGCCCTGAGGGATGCTGAGAAACCATCTAAAACACATAGGGAGGGCAGAGAGGGACCAAGGGCTAAAGAGGAGGGTGCCAGAAGAGAGGGGAATATCACGGGTAGAGAGTGTGACATGACGCGACGAGAAAAAACAGGGGAGCGCAGAGTGAATAAAGAAGAGAACAAGGCTCAGGGATTGGAAAACTCGAGCCGGAGGCATGTCATTAAAAACAGAAGTGATGTGGAAAAACACTATGAGATTGGCAGAACTATTGGGGATGGAAACTTTGCAGTGGTGAAGGAATGTCGCCACTGTGACTCCAATCAGATCTATGCCATGAAAATTGTTGATAAATCCAAGCTGAAGGGGAAAGAGGACATGATGGAAAGTGAAATTCTGATCATTAGGAGTCTCTCTCATCCCAATATAGTAAGCTTAATTGAAGTGTACGAGACAGAAGCTGAGATCTACCTAATCCTAGAGTATGTCCCAGGAGGGGACTTATTTGATGCAATCATAGAAAGTGTGAAGTTCACGGAGCATGATGCTGCTGTCATGATCACTGACCTGTGTGAGGCACTGGTTTATATTCACAGCAAGAGCATTGTCCACAGGGACCTCAAACCAGAGAATCTTTTGGTAAGTTTTGGCAAACACATTGCATATTTGTGGGAGCTGAATTTATTTTCCTTTTAGTTATGGATCTTTGAACATTGTTGAGCAAATACTGTGTGGAGATAATGTGCTGTGGCAGGACTGTTTGGAAAAATGGGTACAATTTTCAAGTGAAAATACCATTGCAGTTTACTTCACGTAGATCTGCTGTGCATTGCAGATAGCAGTGCTTGCAGATAGAAATTCAAATAAAAATGACCTGGCTTTCAGGGGTAGTGAGCATTTGTATTTTTCTGGAAATCAGGCCTATTATTTAGCATCTGACTTTTAGGTATGCAAGGATGAATTTTTTTGCATGGACTATGCACTGAAAAGTAAGGCATCTTCCTTGCAGACCAAAATTTATTAAAATTGCTAATTTAGCTTATTTACTTGGTGGGCTTTTTGTCCACTGCAGTCACTCGTCCTGCAGACCACTGTGCTAGTCTTCTACTGTAGTGATTTCTATCTTGTGACAATTTATTTTCTTAGGAGCAGGAGTATGATGCAGTTGATTGAAATAATCTGACAGTAAAATGTGAGTGTTTAGGTGAAATACATGATTAAAGTCAGCTCAAATACTAACTGTGTGCCAAAGAGAAATTCTTTTTTTCCATCACATTTCTGAGGCTACATTCTTTGCATCCAGCACCGGAGTCAATAGAGTTACTCACATGTGTGAATATGCATAGAAATGTTTGCAGTGTTGACACTTGACGAGACACTCATTGCAGCACAGTAACGGTAAGCAACTCTCCCTTGCTAATCCTGTGTTGCACTCTTGTACTAGGGTTCCAAATTTCCTGATAGATAGATTCCAAATATTCCCAGTCTCTAACAAATCAGATTTGATCTGCTGGTGGAAGGTCATAGTTAGCCAGAAAAAAAAGGTAATAAATGATTTAGTCCTATGTGCCATTCAGTTCTTTAAGGGAATTAATTTTGGGAAGAAATCAATATGAATTCCTGGAGAAAAGCAGGCAGTGTAGCCTGTAGGACATGCAGAGGTTGAACAAGGCTGGGCCTGAACCTTTTGCTCCCAAACGTTGTGACTAACGAATAGCATCTCTACTAGGTCTTGCTATGCATCCTGCTTAGTCCGATGAAAATCCTTGGTATGTGATCTGTGTGCAAATAAAAGATGGTGAGTGCAAGAGGCTGGTTTGCAGGAAGAAGTAGGGTTATAGGCCCTGCCTTCGTGCCTCATTTTGCCATTAGAACAAAACTTCACTTAAAACTGCAAGGCTTTTTCCGGAAGCTGATTTTTCCATTATGAACCAGGCTCTGCTCCTTCCTATTAGCTGAAAATAAGCTAGTGCGCCTGAAACACCTGAGACCAGATGCTTCATTTCCCTCTACAATATGTAATCATCACAGTGATGCAGGTAAGCAAAGAGAGGCAAGATACAGGTCCATTCTGGTTGTTTTCACATTTAGTTCACAGCAGTGCAAGCCAGAGATTGCTGGGCAGTAGCAAAGTTGTGTAGCATTGAAATAACCTGACAGTCAGAAATAATTCTGACAGTCAAAAGATATTTTTCAAGGACGGACTGGCCCCCAGCCTGTAGGTATTTTATCGTATGAGAACTGTGTTACCCAAACACTAATGGGAAGAAAATTGTACCCGTCCCAGTTTCACCTTGCTGCTAATTGGCTGTGAACACCTGTATTAGACACTATTTACAGAAAGCATCCTTTTGAAAAGTTAGTCTGTTCAATGAGTGTTTAAGCTCTTGATAGTGTTGGGTAGCTCATGTGCTATCTAATAAGCGTCCCTATAAATAAAGGCCATTTGAACAAGATTCTGGCTTTTCTGACTTTTTAATGTGCTGCCTCTGACTCCTCAGAGTGACTGGAGCAGCAGCAGCAGTGGAGTGGAAAGGAGAGCTGTCACCGATCTTGACATCGGCCAGTGCTGAACAATAACAAACAGTAGGGAAGCAAATTTCGTGGATTCATCTGCAGGTGGTGGGTCAGGGGCTGTGGGCAGCCTTCTGGAGAGGAAGCACAGGGCTGGCTGTGCTGGCATCCTGCAGGGATGTCCTTGGGCGTGGGATACCTCTTGCTTCACTTCAGATTCCTATGTGGCCGATGTTTAAGTCTGAATTAGTCTCTGTAGACTTTCTTTGTACACAGAGGACAGAAATAGATACGTACTTTTGGGCGGTTGACTTGTTTGTCCTACTTTGGGGTCTTCTTTTGGTTAGGTGAATCTTGTCCTTTTTCTTGTCAACAGTTTTTCCCTAACCCTTTCCAGCAAATGGGAAATGGAAGAGAAAAGATCCTTGGTCTGTTTTACTAAGGAAATGCGTTTGTCTACTGTAAAGCTGCTTTGTGTGAGAATCTAAACCTGTTCCTGATGATTTTTGGACGTACTGGCTGATTTCCATCAGAGTTGACAGAGAAGCAGCAAAGTGGGGAAAGAATATTTCCATAAGTTTCATGAAAATAAGCAGCTGGGGAAAGAAGGAAAACTTGTTTCTGTCCTTACAGAGGAAAAGGTGGAAATGATGTCTAGTGAACTGTAAAATTTTTGATGCAGGAAAGAGTTGGAAACCTGGTTTAATTATTAGTTTACTGCACTAGTGTTCCTCTTAGGAACTGTCCTCTAGTTATAGACTTTTGTAACAGTCCACCATCATCTTTTTTTTGTTTTCCCCCTCCCTCTTTCACTACTCTGTCTGCCCACAACGATCAGACTCCCTGCAGCATAGCTGTGAGGCAGAAGGGTGGTGACTTGCGCTACAAAAACAAAATCTGTTTGACAGCTGGTGTGAAGACAGCTGCTCCCATTCCCTCCCATCTGCTAACAGAGTCACCTCAGTTAAGACTAGGTGTTCAGCAAGAAAACCTTTGCTACCAAGGGTGAACAATGTGATGTGTTTGATCCCACAAGAGAAGCCAGTCACTTCTTTAGTGCTACCTGGAGGAGAAGAATTTGCTGGCAAGGTTTTTAGCTAAGGTAATGTTTAATTCTACAGGTGCTGGCATTTCTTGACTTGTGAGAAATTAATTTCAAAGTGTAGTGGTGTTTTTCCAGGTTATAGCTGTAAAAGACACAAAGTCACCTCCTTGCTCCCTTTTAGGGGAAGGAGGAGGGTTGTATTTGTGATTGCATACTTGTCTCCTTGTACACTTCCCAAACAAACTACTGTGGTAATTGGTTAACATTCAGCTTCATAAATAATATAAGTGTTATAGCTTTTTATGCGTTGGAGCTTTTTCCTTTTTTTTTTGCCCTCTCCTTTTCTCTCTCAAGTTTTCATATACACGTGAGAACTTCAAGTGTAGCCTTTCTGTCTTTTAACTTTGCATTTGTGACACTATTTACATATACACAAAGCACTGTCAGAGGTTTCCGAGTGCATTTGAGTTAACATCCTGTTTAACCAGTTACCTGTCAAGAGCTTTCAGTATGATAAACCTAGAATTTTCTGTAAGATTTTTCATAGAGATTCTTCTAGCTAGCAGCAAGGGATGTCTCAAACTCAAACGTGTAAGCAGTACTTTTTCTTTAGCTCTATTTCTAATATACAAAACATCCCATGGACTAGCTTGCTTTCGTGATGTCTATAAGAAGAATCTGTGCTACCATGTATGTGTGTGTACAGAGAAATATTAATGGTATAAATTGTCATCTTAAACACCCTGATGGATTTCACAAGGTACATATGAAAATAAGAGCATGAAGTACTGGGAGTCATCAACAGACAGGAGAAAAGGAAAAGAACAGTTTATCCCTCTTTGAAGATGAACTTGGCTTTGTGTTAGTGTATTATAATCTTCTGTATGGCTGGGATAGCTAGAAATCCTCAGACGATATTCTAATATCCTGCTATGGCATCTGTATTTGAGAGAGTCGTGAGCAATTGTGACTGCCTTTAGTCCAAGACCACCAGATACTGGCTTCCCTTGAGGCTGAAGGACATAAGCAGTTGTATGGCTGAAGTTGGCCATCTGTAGGAAGTGTACTGAATACTGGTCTTCCTTATCTCAATTAACTCTGTAGGCAGGTAAGACAAGGCAACACTTTTAAATGAACTTTTGGAACCATTCTTTGTAGTCTTGAATGCAGAAATGGTAATAGCTGTCTTTTAGGTGTCACGGTGAGGCTGGTATATTCATTTGATGTTACCGGTTTTGCTTTGTTCTCACCATTTCACAGAGCACATACTGTAGAAGTCAGCAGCTAGATTTCTCTGGAGCAGGTTGTACATTTCTGTGATACTGCTATGAGTAAGTACTCTGGCCTCAGAAAGGAATAAAAGCAACCTGAGAAGCTTTAGTTTCTACAGTGAAGCACATTTGCATGCTCAAGGTGATGCCAGGTGACAGAAGGGAGACTGGAGAGTGCAAAGTTGGGGATGCTCACTCTGCCCGAGCTGACTTTGGGTTGTCCTGAGCACGGTGTTAGTGAAGATGCTGAGGAGTTCTGGTCGGAGGTTTTCAGGCATGCTGACAGGTTACATGCTGTCTTCGAAATGACTGTTACAAAAACTGCGAAAATACACCCAGGGTGCATGCGGTTCCTACCTGTTCGGTTGGGAAATAAACTGAAAGCTCAGTGGTTTTGTCCTGGAAGAACAGATGGTGCAGTGTTGCCACCTTGTGCTGTGATGAGAGATGAGGACTCTGGCATCCTGATAAAAGAAAAAGTACAACAATGTGTTTGACAAAGCAAGACATTTCCTG